CGAGTGCAGTCAATTCAACAACCCCGTGAGCGTCATTGATCCTGGTTTCGGACACACAATACACTTCAATACCTAGCGTGTCTAACATACGTGCGCGTGCAGCCTGTTGACATATTTGTCTTAGAGTGTGATCGTTAAACACCGCCAGGGAGACGGAACAGCGTGGCATTGTTAGAAACAGTTGTCAATAGGTGTTCACTGGTTGGTAGCTGCAAATGGTGTGCCTCCACTGGCGCAGTAGCTACTGTCAATTAGGCTGGGAATTCTGGTAGTTAGGTTAGTAATGGGGGTTGGGAGGGGCGGGAGAGAAACAGATAGAAAAGAAGGGAGGTGCCAGCATCTTCTCGCTTGTCCGCCCTGCTGTATGCAGCAGATAAGGCAACACTTGATAATTTGCGCGACAGCCGATGCAGGATGTTGGTGAATTTCGAAGAAATAGTCATGGTTATGCGTGACCTGAGATACTGCCTGGGCACCCATATCTATACAGCAGAACGATTAGTGTCCTCAACCAAAGCCTTCGACCTAAAAGCCTATCCACGTGCAGCGGAGAGGTGGCAGTGTTGTAGTTTTACGCTAACTGATGTCATCCCATCTCAAACGCCTAGCGTGACGGACTAGGAGACTGAGTTTGTCTGACATATAACTATTGAAACAAGATGTTCACTTTCTAAACCGAAACAGAAATATTAGAAGACATAATCTGTGAAATGACAGGTCATTTCGTGCCTATCTCCTCAGTCACGTACAAGGCAACTAACAATTTAAAAACAAGCGAGGTCGGATGCAGTCGATTGGTGGTCACCTGATAACCAACTAGTACTGCGGCACTATCACGGCAGGCTCAATGTTATTGTCAAGCGCTCCTGTACGCACAGAAGCGGCCGCTCGCGATCCATTACGATGGCTTCAAGTGGCTTGAATATATGCTGCCTTTGGTTATGCATGAGGACAGTGAATGAGTCACTTGTGTTGACCTGGTGGCCAGTGTTCAGTAGATGCTTCGTGAAGGCCGAAGCTATCCTATCTCTGGATTCACCCGGTTCCATCGTCTGAGATCACATTCGCTTCCGCGACCATTTAGGTATCTGTTCATGGATCCTGATGCTTAGACTTCAGTCAGTGCGCTCAATGTAGCTGTCCCACAGGTGCATCGAGGCAACTTAATTTGTACGCCGGACACACTTGAAGCAGCAGGAGATTTTATGTTCGATACGTTGCAATCCGATGGTTAGGTTTTACATCTCATAAAACTCGTCTGTGACCCGACGAAGCGAGAACCAATGAGGAGTATCCAGAGGAAGCCAGTCTTCACTGAACTGCCGTTCAAATGTGATCACATCATGAAAGTCATCACGAAACGGATAAGTGCCTCTTTGATGGTGGCGTATAATGCAGCAGAGTTGTGGTTTCTCACATCGACAGGACCATTGTTTATATACGCATTGAAGACACCGACGACAAACAGTGCATGTCTCACTGTTTATCCAAAGTTACCAGTAGCTGTGGGACAGCTACATTAGGCACACTGACCAAAGTCTAGGCGTCAGGATCCATGAGCACATCCCTAAATGGTTGCGCAAACGAATGTGATCTCAGACGATGGAACCAGATGAATCCAGAGATAGGATAGCTTCGGCCTTCACGAAGCATCTACTGAACACTGGCCACCAGGTCAACACAAGTGACTCATTCACTGTCCTCATGCATAACCAAAGGCAGCATATATTCAAGCCACTTGAAGCCATCGTAATGGATCGCGAGCGGCCGCTTCTGTGCGTACAGGAGCGCTTGACAATAACATTGAGCCCGTCGTGGTAGTGCCGCAGTACTAGTTGGTCATCAGCTGACCACCAATCGACCGCATCCGACCTTGCTTGTTTTCAAATTGTTAGTTGCCTTGTACGTGACTGAGGAGATAGGCACGAAATGACCTGTCATCTCGCAGGTTACATCTTCTGATTTTTCTATAACTACTGACCAAACTAGTAGCAGTAGCTCTTAGGGCCACCTAGAGCACTACCCGGTATGGCTCAATGGGTCGAAGAAGTATACAAACCGTCGTACCACGTTAATGTCCAGTCTCGTTGCGACGGTTGCAGCTCGACATCCCCAAACTACTTGGGTAGGCGGTCAAGGTCATGCTGAAGTACACCGCAGTCGTCGAGAGCATCAGCTACTCCCTTTATATTCAGATTATCTGCACAATGCACAATACGATCAAAGAAGCTGGGGAGCTTTGTGACTATGAACCAGGGGCGAAATGGACACGAAGCACTGTGCCATTGGATTGGTTACTTACATTTGGTTATTCATATCATAGGGTATGAATCAAAAATGCATACATCTTTCTAATCTTTTAAACTACGTGTACATTATGCGACGCTGCAGTTTCCATCAACAACACATTGCAATGACAAGAAATTAATTGTTCACCCAATCAAAATATTGCTTGCTATCCTCATGATATCTTTGTGGTACACCACATTAACTAATGCGTTCGTTTGTCATCGCACAATCGAACTTTTATTGTATTCTTTAACCGGCTTCATTTCCATTAACTGTTAACTCTTCCATCACCACTTGGTCCTGTCCATATTTCCTGTGTCCCGTCCACTTTCCTTCAATTTATTCCGAATCACTCTGTTGTATTACCTTAATGAGGTAGTTCATGACAGTTTCTTCCACTTCATCAGGTTCTAGAACCATTCTGGAAAAAAACGTGAATAAAAAAGCGACCGCGAAAAGCTGTTTTGCTGTTTATTTTGTTTGTTTACCTGTAGATGTTACAAACTCCAGCTGTATGTGAGGACGTGCGAACACACGTTTCTGAAGCACCTCTAGGCGTCTTGACGTTGCGTTCTCAGCACTTGAAAGTTTCTGTCCTCGGTTGAAAAATGCTAGTTACTGCGATTAGACAGATTGCAGCAACTGGCGAAATAGGTTAGTTGTGAAAAATAGAAACCGTCTTCACCGTACGCAAATTAGCTATCGAATTGCTGCTACACACCAAGTTTTAACACTTTTACTAAAAGGACGAAGATCAATGATTTTTCTGCTAACGAACTGCCTAGGCTAATCGCTTCTTGAGTGAACTTAGCAGCGGCAGTCAAAAAGGTACCATAACCAAACGTAGCGCAAATGTAGAACACGGGATTTTGTTTCAGTCTATGTTTTCTAATGGACTGTCCTCTTAAAGCAAAAGATGATGCTGATGGACACTTGTGAGCAAACATCGTTTTGAATCAAATTTGAGATGCACTTTAAACAAGCATTTTATTTAAACAAAAGTATCTACACATGCAATCAGCTTAGTTACCTCGTGAATACATGTTCAAACACATTCCAGCATGCGTTGGACGTACTTCTATCGTGACATACCACACGTTGGATTGCTTTGTAGATGGGTGTTCCCAACTGAGAACAGTGAAAATTTAGTATGGCTTAGACACCGGTTTTGAACATCCATAACAGTGGAAATGCATGGGAACTTGGGATATCATTTTACTTAACTGATTGACACATCTGGTATGGTGTTCTACCGTACCAGATTTCTGTAAGCAGTCTAACCTTTGTTACTAATAATGTGCTGGTAAAACTTACTACCTTAGGTTCCAAAATCTTCAGTACAGTGTTTTGAAGTTATTTTTTTCTTACATTTTGCTTTGTTAGCTTTCAAATCGACGTTATGCTGCTACACTCTCTGTATAAATGCTTGCAATTTCCACACGTAATCGACACAATATACTAAGAGTACACTTTGATAGTAAAAGGCAGCCTCATTTCTTAAATCGTACTAATGCTACATGGTATATTTTGTTAGCCAATTCGAGCAAACGTGAACATAGCAGGCCAGTAAACGTTGGGTTTGCAGTCAGACACGAGACCCCGGGGTTTTGTTCTTACCAGTTTTATTCCCATGTAATCCGCCCTACTACGAACAGCTACTATTCTTTTGCTCAGTGTAGAGGGTATTTAACAACAGAAAATCAGATCCAAAGCTGCGATCTTAGGAATAGGACCGATCGAGTTTAAATGCATATTGTATCAATGAAACAATGTAACAATGGTCTATTATGGGTAAAAGACGGTTGCTTAAATAGTCCCGTAGGATAACCAGAATGAGAAACACAACATGGTGAATAGAAAACGAGATGATGAAATGAAAATCATTTTGGTGCACTCACCACAGTGTTAACACAGAGGCATAAATACAGGAGGCAAAGTCGTTAGTGTAGGTTAGCGCAGGTTGTGCACCGGTCGTCGCATTATCTCCTCTGCCGATATATACCGGCTGTATCTTGTAGTCTAGATTATTTGGGGCAACGTCAAGTCGCATTTTAAACAGAAATAGTGGTGGCGAAAACAACGTAATGTTGGAGGGCGTTCCATGGTTGGTATACAAGAAGCGAGTAAGTGTTTTGCCGATATTCTAACCGACTGCATTGCGTGGCCAACTTGAGCTGATGGCCCCTCGAATTCGTGTTGTGACTGATGGGCAGTTGGTGGCGGCAGACGTGTTTGTGGTTCTTCAAAATCCGGTAGACCATTATTAGGTCGCCACGTAGGAGTCGATAATGACCGCTGTACAACCTTAGACCCCCCACCAAACTTGATATGGAAGATGAAAAAACCCTTTGAAGTGCTTTGTGACTCTTTGCTGTGGAGTCACGAGTGCTGCAAGATCTTGTTTGTGCCATACCTGCCAGTCCTGGACTGCGTATTTCACATACTTACTGATGGTTGGTAATCGTGGCACAACTGGTGTCAAGTCAAGTGAATAAAAACGCAACGTTTTCCACATGCGACATCGAAATAGAGTCAACAAAAGCGTGATTATGTTTTGGTTTGACACATCTAGTCTAAGAAGGTCCGCTTACTTGTCTTACGGTTAAGTATAGTACATTGACTACCTGTTTTTCTCATTTGCAAATTTGTTTCCAACACTTGCACAAAATTGACACTCGGAGTGGGTTTATTACTCCATTTTTTTGTTCTAGAAGTGCGTAGATTGTTGTGACACATGTCACAAGCGTGTCTATCCGATGGATCGGGTTTCCATAGGAGAGCGTGCGTATCACAAGAGCTGCTTCCGATGCGTCATCTGCCAGCGTACTCTTCTGTGAGTGGACTATTTTGTAATGTCACTGAATCATATACTGCATTCTAACAGTTTCAACACTTGTAGTAGGCACTTCGCAGAAACCTTGATACTGAATCTGACGTATGATACCATCTGCCTCAGCTCCAATCCTAAGGGGTTTAAGGGTGACCATTCAATAAGTAAAAAAGAAATTACAGTGAATAAGTAGAATATTAACGATATGGTTTGCTTTGGGTCATTACCGGTCTGTAACACGGCTGTTGCATTAAAACTTAAGAGCAATAAGCTTACAATGGATAGGTTCAGGTATAATTGATGTCCAGGAATCACTATGGCTTAGAATATCTGTTAATAGCAGCAGCTGGTTAAGGGATGTATATACAGCACCAAACTGCAGCTAAGAAGACCTAAACCTTTTGACACGCATTCGAATGCGCGCTAGCCTACCATTTATACATAAACTTATTGGGGGTGATTTTAAGCTCACGTCCATTTCATGGCCCATGGAAACCGCTCCTTCGAAACGTCAAAAGCCTATCTCCTGTATCCAAATGAATGGCAGACAACAACGCGTCTCCCAACCTACCAGAGTTGAAAATACTCCGGATCTCATTTTTTATTGGACATACCTACGGTCAGTGTTACTGTACTTGATGAATTTCCGGTGGGCGCTCATCTCGTGCTCAAATGCCGCCTACGTATTTCCGAACACAACGTGTTCCCGGACGTTAGACACGGGCACTCGGATGCCACATGCTGTCGGCAGCAGAGGCGCTTACATTTCGACTCTACAACCCGGACCTATGTGCACAGAAAAGCTCCCTCATACTTTTACTCTGCGTTGGCCTCAGACCAACGCGACTAACAATGACAGTCACGCCACTTCACCTGACTTCACATCAACCAGACCAATCGCATCGACTTATCGATTCGTTACTCTACTTCAGTGACTCACCGAATTTAAACCCATTGTGTCTAGTATAACTTGCACTATCGTGGTTGTATTAGCCTGATGATGAAGCCAAGACAACAAGCTTGTTCGTTACTTTCTATTTCTGAGAACACCATGCATTATCGTCTGTTCAGTTCCGTCAACTGGAACTCTTCTAAGGACCTGGTTTGTTCAATGAATTGGTACAACTTTTTCTCTCTTGATGTCCTCAACTAGCGACGGACGTGTTTGATAGTATAATTGGCTTCTGCACTGATACACTAGTACCACTAAAATGTGCTTACCAAACTAAACATACATTCGATCGCAAATCGTTGAAAGCAGTACGAAAGCTGCATAATATTCGGCGGAAATACAGATTAACTGCTGATTTTGCGTTGTCATTAAAGTACTCTAAGATCGTCGAAGAAAAGGGGCATCAAAACGAGAAAACTGTCATTTTAGAAGAGTATAAAGCTCCGAAAGGCCCTAGCAAAACAGTTAAACTATTCAAACTATTCCGTGCCCGGGGTTCGCGTCCCTGAAACAATTTCAATTTTATCACCATGCCTGATGGAACGTACTTCGACACACCAGAAAACATCTGCGAAGCTTTCAGTGTTTATTTTCCCGAATCAATGGTTACTGAATCATCAGACACATCAGCAGTTATCATGCCGCACAACAATGCAAGTCTATGCACAGTGGAATTCACTATTGCGAAAATCACTGCTCAAGTCTCTCGTTTATGCTCCTCAACACATACACAGGTCCTGATGAGATCCCCTTGTTTAATATAAAGCAGTGGTACTGGCTTCCCTCTGTTTTTGCTCACAAGCTTTACACTCTTTTAACAAAGGACTATATTCTACTCACTGGAAAACCTTGTCATTTTCTCGAGAAACAAATGTGGCGTCGCCTGCGAGGTCATAAACTTTCGTCCCAAGTGAGGCAAATTACCCGTCTTGGAAAGCAAGGTGATCAACAAAATCGGCCTATGAGAATCACTTGTGTGAACGAAACCAGTCCAAGACTGATCATATCCCACCTAAGTAGGCTGAAAGGTTTGAGGACCCATGTTCGTCCAGATCTGGACCCAGTAGACATGGAGCGGCTCAAGTCTGCCATCATTGAGCTGAAAAGATATACTGGTGAGGAGGAAACAAATCTTCGTATCACAAATTTTCGGATGGTTTCCAACAATCCGCGAATCAGGATAAACAGGCTGCTCACACTTCAAGCACGCCCGGCGGCTCCTGCTGCGGCCTGCGAGTAGCCTTCACAAACATTTGCAGTGCTGTGAAACAGCAGGATGAGCTCTGTTGTTTCGTTGAGTCTGAGTGGCTAGACGTATTGAGACTCTCAGAGACATGGCTGCATTCAGAGTGACACACAAGAACTTGAATTCAACGTTAACTCGTGCTTCCGGTGCGATAGACTAAAGAATGCCCACGGGGGTGTCTTGATTTACATCCGGTCTTCCTTGCGTGCGAGACTTGTGAGCACCTACCGAAGTGATGATGGTTTGTGTGAGCTACTGTGGTGCTCCATCCGCCTCAGGCGCGGAGAACTACTTATGGGTTCAGTTTATCGCAGCCCCCTGAGTCGTTGTTTGGATTGGCTGCCACATCTCCGAACCCACATGTCGTCCACGCTTTCTACTTATGGGCACTTTTAACTGTCCTCGAGTACGATGGCCTGATGTGCATTTATTGCCTGGACATAGTGAGTTTGAAGCCAAGTTTCATGGATTTGGCACTTGAAACCGGTGCATTGCAGCACATATGCCAGCCAACACACATAAGAACACGCTCAACCCCGTCCTGTCTCGACCTGATGTTAACGAGCTACGAACCACGAGTACGTGACGTTCGGATTCTGGAGCCCTTGGCTACAAGCGACCACTCAGTGTTCACAGCTTATATGGAATTATCTTTGCCGTATTCATGTCCGCTGGAACCAGCTTACAACTACTGGAAAGCGGACTTCGATGGTCTAGCTCGAGCCGCGTGCCAACTGGATTGGTCTCTGTCACAAGCTTCATCTATGGAAGACTGTTGGATATTTATAAAAGAGAGATTGACATTATTTTGTTCCTAATTTTTGCCATGGAAATATCGGAAGATCGGACCGAGTAAGCCTCATTAGTTTTACAAGGAGTATGGAAATCTGCTTCGAAGGCGGCGCAGACTGTGGGAAAATTTTCTCCTCTCTGGCTCTGCCATTTATTATGTAGGGTATAAAAGTCAGTCTAACCACTTCAACGGTGCAAAAAGGAATGAGCGCCGACATTTTGAAGAGCAGCTTGCAATAGCCGAGTAGACCACCCCAAAGAGAATTTTGCTTATGTGAAGAGACGCCTGAAGCCGGCAGATGATATGCCAGTGCTGGATGGCCCGGGTGGATAGCCCCTAACCTCCAGCAATGCGCGTGCGTTCGCGTTGGCGGCGCACTACCCTTCTGTATTTGCGAATGACCAGGTGTCTGTTCCGAGTTCGAAGTGTACCGCTTTTATCGAACTCAAAGTCTGAATTGTATGTCACCTACTTGCCAACCTTGAGGGCACCAAACCTGTCAGACCTGATGGGCTTCACCCACTGATTCTGAAGTCACTTTCGACTGTCATCTCTCCAGCCGTGACTATCCTTTTCAACAGGTCGCTGTCAGAAGATTCGTTGCGGATTGACTGGAAATGTTCGGTGGTAAAGTCTATTCCGAAAGGTGGTGACCTTAGCAAGGTTGACAACTACAGGCCAATTTGTCTGACACCTATTTTCGCAGTTACTGAGAAAATCATGAAGAGGGGATTGTTGCAGTTGCTGCAGTCAAACGAGGTCCTGACGCCCGCCAGCACGGTTATATGCAAGGCCGCTCATGCATTACAAACTTGCTTATGACAAGGCGTCATTGATTGAAGGCAATAAGCAAGGGGAAGTCTGTCGCCGTGGCGATCATCGAGTTCAGTAAAGCGTCCAACAAGGTCAGCCATGAGGTTCTCCTTCACAAACTCAGGATGTGTGGTGTCGGTGGCTCACTGCACCGGTGGATCCGCGACTTTCTTTTTGGTCGAAATTGGAGGGTACAGTTCGGCGATCATCTAACTGACTCCTATCCCTCCACAACCGGCCTGCCTCAAGGCACGGTGCTGGGGCCCCCTATGTTCGTCTGCAACTCAACCCAGCCAAGTCTGTATTTATGAGCATGGGAAAGGATGCTGACGGCCGAACCTACACCCTTGACGGCCAACCGCTATATACCACACCCACCGTGAAGGACCTAAGTCTACTCTCGCTCTACGGTTGAAGTCCGTGGACAAAACGAACAGGCTATGTCGTAACGGACGTCGCATGTTTCGGGCGCTCAAACCTAGCTTCAGCACATGGTCTAAAGAGGTTGCCACTCGCCTCTTCTCTTCTATCATTAGACCAATGCTAGAGTACGGTTCGCCCGCCTACTTCCCGATTACCCGAAGCGAAGCACAAAATATCGAACGCGTCCAACACGTTGCTAACAGACTCATCCCGAGTTTACGTGGCTAGGGGTTTGAAGACCGGGGCGAGAAACTGGGACTCTACACCCTGTCCTAGCGTCGGGTACGAGTCGATCTCATTATGACCTACCGTACTCTACATCTCGGTGAGCTCCCAATGCTAAGGCCAATACTGCACTTACGAGGGCCATGCAGCACACGCGGACACAGATACAAACTTGTCGTGCGGGCTATGAAGCGTTCCCGCACCCACTGTGCTTCGAACATAGAGTGGTAAATATTTGCAACAGTTTGCCTAAACATGTGATGGAGGCAACATCTGTGCAGTAGTTCAAAACGTTGTTAGATTTATATTTTACCACTATTCGCTTCAGAGAACGATTGCACAATTACCATGACTTGTCACGTTTGTGAGTCCTGTAATACCCATGAGTCAGATATTTTAAATGTTACGTGAGAACGATAACGATATTCATGGCTGACAATTTTTATAACGTTTTTCACCATATTTCGAAAGTGTTGTACAGAATTCATTTCTACTTGTTCTATAATACCGTATTCAGGATTAAATCACACACACCTCGTATCTAGAATAATGGAAAGGATAGTGAAAGATGAAATATTGTTATTCTTGAATAAGGCTAGCATCATCAGCAATTCGTAGCACGTCATCATGCAAGGTCGATCCTGCGCAACATGCCAGATAGACTTTTTAAACCACACAAACACGCCATAGACAACGGCAACGGTGTTGCAATCCTGTTGCTGGATATGCAAGAAGCCTTTAATAGAGTGCCTCACAGAAGGTTACTGAACAAACTGAAGACCATAGGCACTGGTGTACTGAGCTTTTATTGGCTGTCTTTGTATGTAATTGGTAGAGGGCAGATGGTGCGCATCTGCCACCACTTCTCTAAACCGAGATTGAGAAATGTTCTTAAGTTTATCTTTGTTGATGACATTAAATGTGTCTACGCACAACAACGTGCAAATACGCAGGAAGTCGTAGGTCTCATTTAGGATGACCTATCGACACTTGACTCCTGGTGCCAACTGTGGCAGATGTCATTTACCCCTTGGACAAGTGTAATATTTTGTCGTACAAATGTCAAGTACCGTCAGACAGTGTATTACTACAAGGCGCATATAACTCGCAATGCAGGGCAGTTCTCGACTTGGGCGAGCGATATTCAGTCACTTTTAACTTTTCTGAACTTTGTGACCTTCAAGCTTCGAAAGCCATGATGATCATCGGTTACATCTATCATTATTTTTATCGCACCGAATCTCGCATATCGCTTTAAGGACATGTATGGCCGTATATGGAATAATGTTTATTGGTCCGGTCTCATCGGCGGAACTCCAAATAGCATGCCGTTGAGAGGGTCCAGAGACGCTTCAGGTAAGAGCTATGTGGATATTCCTCAAAGTTGGCATACAGAGCGAGATGTGCTAAACTTGGATTCGACTCAATTTTGCTTCGGAGAATGAAGCTGAACCTATGTTTTCGTTGCAGAATCATAAACCATCAAATTCGAAGTGTTGATAACGGTGTTCACATATCTTTAGACAGCAGATATCCAATCCGTAACAAAGAGATATAGGCACTGATCCCAAATTTACTACGAGAATCAGAAGATTTCTATTTAACCCACTACTTAAAGATTTTGAAAAAAGATTCCAAGGGACATCAAAACATGCTATAGACTTTGCAATTTTAAGCTTACAATCTGTAAGCAGTTAACCGTCCAAAACGTGATTAATATGTTCGGGACATCACAGTCCCTAGATAATGCTTTCGAAAACCGTATCGATGGGGCCTGAATAACTTTTTGCAATACATACACATAACATTTCGGACCATAGCCCCTTTCATTTCATTTCATTTTTTCTCGGCCCAAACATCTGTCATGTGATTGTGAAGAATCCTGGTTCAATGGCAGGAAACGAAATAGCAGTACGATTCCAATTACTTTGTGTTACCTAAATTTGAGATTGCGCTCATGATTGTTTTTGATAAATTATTAATACCATGTCATGAAAAGGATGTACTATTATTTGATCTGTTCCTTCTAGGGAACAGCTTGTGGTATCGTCGAGGAATACACAATTTATTTATTTAGTTAATTGCCTTTACTTGGATCATTTGTCTGGCCTCGTATTTCCTCCCTTGGCAGACCGGGAAATTTTGCCTCTCTGGATGGAACTGTTTTGTGCAAGCCACATTACATTGAACAGTTTCGGAGAAGAGGTTGGTCTGAAAGTAATTGGTGTTACTCGCCGATTAATTTTGTTTCTTAGGAAACTAGCCGTAAACTCCTTATTTGCTTCTAAAAGTCTTCTGATTTACATCCGATGCCGTAATTCCAACATGTAGTTTCCATTCGACTAGTTAAATTTCAGCCTTTTCATTCTTGAATGCCATAAAACATATGTTAGACATTTGATCTCGGTTCCCTGGAAATAGGGTCATGGTTCAACGCTTCATTGTGTCATTCCTGAGACATTTTTCTGTTGATATTAAGCGTGTTCGATGCCTTATTTGTGCCGCAGGAAGAAGAAGCGAACCACTCAGTTCCGTTAGTTCACTCACCAGGCTCCGATAGTTAGGCCTTGTTGCACATACCAGCCTACCGTGTCTCGCTACTTACGCTGGTTGTGCGCCGGGGGTGCGGGTGGCATAAGAAAAGTGGTGGGCAAGAGATGACTTGATTAAGAGGAATGAAGGCCCTTACTTCGAATTTGGCCTCGGTTGGAGCATCTCGGCTCCTTGGTTGAGGACTGAAAGACCAGGAACAACTTTGGCTGGATACATTTGCTGACATGGCTAGGAGCCGATCTCAGTGGCGTTTGTTTGGTGCGTTTTTTTCTTCGCTCCCTTCCCTCCCGCTTAACCACCCCCTCCAACCACGATCTCATTTATCAGGAATAATGTAATTCATTTTTGCGGCACAATAACCGGCTGTTAGCTCTCCGGAACCCGTCGCAACGAGACTGGACCTTAACGTGGTGCGACGGTTTGCGTACCTCATTGACCCATTGAGCTATACTGGGTGATGCCTCCGAGCATCTTGAGAGCTACTCCTACCAGGTTGGTCAATGGTGAGAGGTCAGACAAACTCAGTCTCCTGGTCCTCCAGGTTGGGGGTTTGAAATGGGATGGCGTCCATTTCTGTAAAACTAAATCACTGCCACCCCGCTGCCTTGCGGACAGGCTTTTGAGCCAAAGCCTTTGGATGAGGACCCTAATCGTTCTCCTATCTAGGTCTGGGCGCCCTGGCAGTATCCCAGCCCACATACAACCATGACATTTTCTTCAAACATAAACTTCATCCTGCATCGGCCGTCGCGCAGATTATCAAGGGTCGCCTTATCTGCTGCATACAGCAGGGCGGATAAGCGAAAGCATGCTACTGCTGGCGCCTCCCTTCTTTCTTTTCCACCTTTTTCTCTTACTCCCATCCCGGCCCCCATTACTAACCTTCCTTCTATAATTCCCAGCTTAATTGACAGCAACCGAAGTGCTACTGGAGTAGTACCGTCTGCAGCCACCATCCCACAGCACCTATCGGACGCCTATCGGCAAAAGTCCCTTATAAGGCCACGCCGTCCCGTTTCCATGGCGACATTCAACGTCCGCACTCTAAGACAAACAGGTCAGCAGGCTGCACTCGCACGCACCTTGGACACACTGGGTGTTGATGTGTGTTGTGTGTCCGAAACTAGGATTAATGACCCTAACGGGGTTATTGAATTGACTGCACCCGGCTTATCCTCTCGTTATTGGTTGCACGCATCCGGAGACGCCGATGCGGCACTCACGGGTCAAGCTGGTGTAGGTATCATTCTCAACTCCAAGGCTGAGTCATCGTTGGTTGATTGGATTCCGGTGAACAGCCGTTTATGTGCAGCCCGTTTGACGACATCAGCTAAGGTGAATTCGCGAAGTAAAACAAAACGCTGTTTGTTTGTGATTTCTGCTTATGCTCCCACGGACTGCAGTTCTAATGCAGTCAAGGACACTTTCTATCACGAACTGAACACGCTGCTACGCAGTGCTACTAGTTCAGATATTATAGTACTTGCAGGGGATATGAACGCACAAGTAGGGCGTCTGAGCTCTTCAGAAGCTCAGCTGGGTGGTAAGTATGGACTTAACTCCGAACGGACTGACAACGGCGAGCGTCTGCTGCAACTGTGTGCGGAGCACCAGTTGTTTCTTACTAGCACTGCTTTTAGACACAGTGGGCGCCGAAGTGCCACTTGGCGTCCACCTGTAGCTGGTCAGCGATGGACCCAAATTGACCACATAGCCATAAGTTACAGGTGGCGCGGTTCCATTCTGGATTGCCGCTCGTACTGGAGTACCTGTGTCGACTCTGACCATGCCTTGGTGCGCTGTCGTTTCTCCATGAACTTTACCGGAAGGCGCACAAAGCGTCTCTCCCGATTGGCAACGGAGAAATTGTCCCAGCCCTCTGTCAGGCAAGCCTATCAAGAAGCACTGCATAGCGAACTCTCGCTGTCTTGTCCTAATGATACTGAACTTCAGTGGAATAGGATCTCGGCCACTATGCACGACGCAGGAGCATCTGCTTGTGGCACTATCAGTCGTCATCGCACCAGTCACTGGATATCCGAGAGGTCCGTGAACCTTTTGGAAGCTAGAAGGCACCTCCCGGCTGGTTCTGAACACAATGTGACCAGACGGGCTATTAGGCGTGAACTAAAGCGGAGCCTACGTGCTGACAAGGAAGCCTGGTGGACCAGTCGGGCTCAAGAAATGGAGGAGGCAGGAGCAGTAGGCAATTACCGGAAGCTCTTCCAGCTAATACGCACCACTGGTCCGAGAAAACCAGGCGTCAGTGAGACAATCACGGACAGCGCGGGTGCGCTGATACACAATAAGGAGCGCCGTATGGCTCGTTGGGCTGAGCACTTTGAACATCAGTTCAGCTGGCCCCCTGCTCCCGGACCTCTTCCTACTCAGGTGATGCAGGACGAGCCATGGACGGTTAGTTTAGAGCCTCCGTCGGAGGCCGAGGTCCGAAACGCGATCACAGCCCTCAATCGTTTTCGTGCCGCTGGCCCGGATTCCCTACCACCTGCACTATTTAAGGATGGAGGTGAGGTCCTCTGCAAAGCACTGACCTCCCTATTCGAACGTATCTGGAACGAAGAGAGTGTGCCGGCTAATTGGAGCGAATCGATTGTAGTGGCAATATACAAGAAGGGCAGTCGCACAGACTGTGCGAACCACAGGGGTATTAGCCTAACGCCAGTTGTGACAAAATTACTGGCCTCGATTATCGTTCGTCGCCTCACTGCAGAACGGGAATCTCGGATTAGAGAAGAGCAGGCCGGTTTTCGCCCAGGACGTGGCTGTATAGACCATATATTTACTTTGCGGCAGGTGCTAGAGCAGCGCCACGCATACCGCAGACCGACAATAGCTGTGTTCCTCGATTTCAAGAGTGCGTTCGATTCAGTCGATCGATCGATTCTGTTCGAAATACTTGCGCGGAAAGGTGTTCCCACGAAATATGTGAACATCCTTCGTGCTCTATACTCGAACACTAGAGGCCGCGTCAGGGTCTATGGTGCCCTATCGGATAGCTTTTCGACTACAAGTGGCGTTCGACAGGGTTGCCCGATTTCCCCATTTTTGTTCAATTTCGTCGTGGATTCTATCATGGAGTGTTCCCTTGCGGAATCTCACGATGTAGGTGTTGAAGTGCTGCCTGGTGAACGGTTAGTTGATCTAGATTATGCGGACGATATCGTCTTACTTTTCGACAATGTTGAGGCGGCACAATCAACCCTGAATAGCCTATCCAGAGTGGTCCCATTATTTGGTATGCACTTCGCACCTTCAAAGTGCAAAGTGTTGCTGCAGGACCACCAGCCACTCGATGACCCCTTGACGCTTGCTAACGAGGAACTCGAGGTGGTTGATCAATTCACTTATCTTGGCAGCTGCATCAGCAATGATGGGCGCATAGAAACTGACGTGAGCTCACGCATTGCAAAGGCTAGAGCTGCCTTCTTGAACCTGCGTCATCTTTGGCGACAGAAGGGAATTTCCCTTCGTCTGAAAGGCCGTGTATACAAGGCCACAGTGAGGGCCGTTCTGCTCTATGGTAGTGAAACTTGGCCCCTTCGGTCTAATGATCTGAGGCGCCTTTAAGTCTTTGATCATCGTTGTTTGCGAAGCACTGCTGGTGTCGGATGGCACCAGCGTGTCCGCAACGATGACGTGCGTAGGCGAGTACTAGGTGGTGATGATCATGCTAGCTCCCTAGAACAACAGATAGCACTGAATAAGTTACGTTGGCTCGGGCACGTGCTACGCTTGCCTGGTCACCGCTTACCTAGGAGGGCCTTGTTCAGTCTACCAGGTGTCGGATGGCGCAAGGCTCGAGGTGGACAGAAGTTGACTTGGCAGCGTGAAATGAAGTCACTGACGACCAAACTGGGTGCCGTTGGTCCGTCTCGCCTTCCGGGTTGGAGTCCACGTGACTCACCTTGTGCTTGGCTCTAGACTTTACAGGACATGGCTCGCAGTCGACACCAGTGGCGCGTCTGCTGCCGTCTCCTAATCGGATTGTCTGTTTAAAGTGTGTTTGGTGCTGAGTTATCTGCGGGGTAATGGCTGATTATGACGCGTGGCAGTGAAAGCCGCAAGGAAGCTGTCTCGCCGATACCGCCTTATGTTTGCACGATAGCCAGCTGTTTGTGACGGTATGTTGTCTACACAAGGTGTAGGCGCCTTGACCCTGAATGTTTGCTTAGGGCATTTAGGTTTTCAGGTAAGTCCCCCTTCTCTCCCTCTTCTTATTCTTTATTTCATAGGTCCTCATGGTTGTATGGCAGCGAAGCATCAGTTCAAATGGCTGATGTACTACTACTGCTGATGATGATGATGAGCTCTCCGGAACGATGTCCATCCGTTACCGGTGACTGAGCCGGAGTGCCTCTGTCTCATGTTCTTTTCCCTTGTTTGTATTGTGGTCCAATAGCTGAGTTGTTTTCCACCTGCACCTAACGTGCATAATGATGATGAGGATGATTTCTGTTGCTATGTACTTCTGTTCCCTGTGCAACGTGTGGTAGCTTACGTTTACTTATGCTAGCTTCAATCGAACAGAAATCTTTCGTATTTCCATTTAATCAACTTCACACCTTGTGGGACACTTGAAAGGCTTTTGTATTTGTGAACTCACAGGATTGTGAGCAGTTCACATTTTTTAGCTCAAAGGAATTTCTGTCGTAAACAATGGTTACGTGTTTGAATGTAGCATTAGAGCCTAAGTGGGTATTCTAACATAGCGAAGATATTGACTTACTTATTGAAGCCCATCATACCATGGAAGATGGTTTGCGGATACTAAAATGTCGCTTGTGGATGTCGATGGATAATTGAGTTCGGCCTCGAAACACTTCTGTCTCTATGGTCAACTCATTTAGCAACCTGAGAACAAAGAGCCTCCGTTTGTTGGGAACATCATTTTATCGAACATCCAAAAGAATTTTTTAGTTGTGAATAACAAGTAACCTACCAAATTATAGTTGTCTTGTCTTGCCCAGTGTTTAACTAAAAGTAATACACGGACGCTTCATTGATTATGAACAGTTTCTGCAATGTGATTCGATGTATTTTTGTGGGCTTTTGGGGTCAGCAGTTGCAACACGGCAAAAGGTAACGAGGTTCATGCAAGAGGCTTGAGCAGAGTAGTGCCTACTTGCTTCTCGGTTTAAGGCTTACTATGCCACTACATCAGTGATTGGCGCCCATATCCGTAATGACCTACTTTCAGAGTTAGAGGAGTTTCGGAAGTCCATCTCATACAGCTAGATGTTGACTTTTCACCCTGATTGTTGCAGCTTGAACTTTCTCCTAATCCTTTCGGTATCATTTTCGCAAGATGTTACTCATTCCCCATGAGTGTTGATCATTTCTTCGTGCTTCATTCCTCAACGATGACGTAATACTAAGAGCCATGGCGTCGGCATATGAAGTCATTGACTTCACGTATTGTTGCCCTTAGATCCACACGCTTGCCTGGTTGGGGATCAAAGGACGAAGATTGTCGATGGCTGAAAACAATGCGGGATATGGCGAGTAGTTAAAACCAGTGGAAAATTCTTGTACATACTTGTTTAGATTCAAGTGTCTAATGCTTAACAATCGGAAATGACAAAAATATAAAAAATACCTGTGGATAAATAACATAAGTAGTTCCATTATTTTTGCGACACAATATCTGAAGTGTGTTGCTCATCTTCAGATAATGCGCCATGAGGAAAATGTGATGATTACACCTGTATTATTCCTATACTTTCCATGATTTTGTTTGGCTCTATGTCTATCCGTTAGACTGCTGCCAATACATACATACAAGAGCCACAATAACTCTATCTGTTGCAAACCGGTGCCCGAATCATGGCTGAGTAGTAGAAAATAAACCGAAAGCTTTCTTTGCCATTGTGAATTAGTTTACTCGTATAAACCCTACTAAAAGCTTCTTTTAGTTGCGTTTTTTACTCTCGATCTTTATAGATAAAACTGCCTGAGATTAGCTGAACTACGAATTGTGCCTTTTACATAGTTTACGAGTAATACATTTTGTCGTGTTATTTTCTTTTTCCCGTCTATGATTACGTTACTAGGATGCAATACTAAGGGTAGGTTGTTACTTTAGATTTTCTCAAGTCCGCATGCAATGCATTCTACCTAAGATTGACATTTTTGATTTTCCTGTCTGCGGTAACTGCAAAGTAAATTTTTGCTTTACTCTCTCAGCAGCTGCGTGCTAGGTTTAACACTAGCAGTTTTTCCTGAAAGGGAATTATCTGCAAATAAACTCAAACCATTCATGTGCTCCTTTTTGTCATTGTCCTCGTCATCATATGTTAGCTGAATTTTGCACAAATACACTTAGCAATTGTGCAGCAACACGAAATGGTAACATATAGGAAAAGTAAGCTACAACGCGTTTCGAAGCACAATATAAGGTGAATAACGGGTAATATAATAGTTAGTAACACAGTACGCATCGGGGATGTGGTCATGGTTGAAGGGGAAATGAATAGTTGAGGGAGGGACACCGGAACTTGCAACTTAGACAATTATTAGCACGTTCCGGGCAAGAACAATTAGACGCCTAGTATTTGCATATTCAGATATACCTTGTTTCGTTTGTAAATTTATTACAATCAAACAATATAGATAGGCCTTCGTCTCCGTGAATTGCTGCCTGTGTTTCCAATTCACAGTTTAGAAACTTTTTAACTTCTCCTAGTTGAAGGAAGCTAGTTCAGAAGCAGTTCATCTTTTAATGTTATTACATTCATTGTTAGTTAACATTATATTGTTGAAAATCGCTCTGTACAACATTGTTTAAAAGAGTAGAGTAGAGTAGAGAGTAGCATTGTTTAAAAGAGTAGCGTTTAACCATAAAATCGATATCGGCCACTGCCAAGTGGATGTTTGTAGGTTGAGATACGTGATGCATATTACCATCGTAGAGTCACATCAAGTAATCCACTGGAGAATCTAGAGCGAAACTTGCCTTAGGCGAGTGTGTATGGCTCAACTTAACAGGTCAGGTGAGCTTACAGTCTACCCGTGCTCCTTTACTTAAATGCTGTAAGCAACACTCACAGTCATCCATCGCATATGCGCTCCGCATTGATGCTCTGAGTTTGCCGTCCTATTTATGTTCATCAACCACGACCATAAATGTCAATCAAAGTTTGAAACAATAACCGGCAGGCTGTTTCCTGCCATGTGCTTACTTCAACCAAGCTTAGCGAGTCGTGTCAAAAACCTTGCGTTTTCATAGCCTTTGTTCAACGTACCGTGGCTTGCACCAGACAACGGATGCTACTGACTACACGGTGCATTGTCTTCAGGGCAAACGCCCATAACTCTTGCACAAACCAGCGGGCTGTCTTGATTACTCCATCAATTGCATATAAGCACCGGATGCAGCAATGTCTGACCAGTGTTGCGGTCTGAGACAACGGTATGACGACCTAAATTTTGTCGAATTTCATTTTCCCAATGTCTGGTTTTTGTCCCTAACGCTCACAATGTTCTCATATGATATTTCCTTTCCACAAGGTCGCTATGAGCTCCGGAACTCAAATGGTAAGTGTGTTTGTTCGATTATCTTTTTATTCAACTCATGTAAGATTGGGCTGTAGGGGCATTACTGATCCGTTACTGGGGACTCAGCCGGTGCTCCACTTTTGTATTTTATTCTTGCCTTTTGTATTGCGGCACAATAGTTGAAATATTTTCCACCTGAAGCTAATGTGCATAATGATGAGGTTGGCGTCACTGATCACTTTAAAAGCACGCCACACATTTAATATTGCTTGTCATATTTATTGACGGAGCCGGTGTCTCAGACAAAGTGGCAAATACCACACATCCTTTAGGTATTACAAGCTGGTTTTTAAACGTTACTCATGATATTAACTTTTCAGTTGTTATAAAGTCTCTAGACCACCAGCACATTTTAAAGCTGAAATTTAATCTCTATTTTATGATAGAACAACTCCTATATTGCAGTTTCGGAATTTAGAGCTTACTAGTAGTGATTGACTTAGTTAGGACATACTAGACGATGGCCGTGATCAGAGGTAGTTAGCTTCTGGACACAACGCACCTTAGAAAGAATGTCCTCAGCCGTACGCCGTAACGGCGATTCGCTGAGGCGTGACCACCACCAGTCACGCGTGGGCTGAGTATACCGCGAGGACGCCGCTCCTATGCGGTTTCGAACCGGTGATCTTGTGACTGCACGCTAGGTGTGCAGACCACTCGGCCACCGGCCGACAACACTATTAAAGCGATATGGATTTAGTAAAACCATGGATACTTTGGGAGTGGTGCATCAACTCAGTTAAAACAAGTGTATCCAAATTTCCGTCCCCTGAAAACACCACCTTCAGCTCTATTTTCACGATATTTATAGTAACTAGATCTGAAGCGCGAAAATCGTGCCACCTTGCACCGAACACGCATCCGAAAGACAGCATACGATTGTATCAGATAAATAAAGGACTGTTAAAGAGTTTCTACGATTGCTGTAGCTGGGATGTATTCAGAACAGGATTTAGATACAGGAGTTTTAAAGGCCTATGGACATTTAGCGGCGTTGCTGACAACGAAAAGCACGACCAACGCAAAACGAAGCAGGAATAACTTGTTCAGCTGCATACGGAAATTCTAACTTTTGGAATATGCCGCAATCAAAAGAGAAATCACCAGTATGCTACACGAAGATATTGTTATGTTAATTCTGTGCTACATTAGGAACAATGAGCAAAGATGCGCTGGGATATGTTCATCCAGTGTTTAAAGTATCTGTTAACGCTTAAAGACTGACGGCACAGTAGAGTAAATCAACACTGAGGTAAAATACTTACCAAAATATCCACATTATTCCATCGTAAATTGTCTGACTGGTTCTCCTTCGCAATTCCAGTAAGAATCCTAGTTTATAGAGTGAACCACATTAAAACAGATATTAAGTTTTAGCTGTTCTTTGCTTTCAAAGCCATGCTCTCTGTTTCAGATTCCAATTCATCCATAAACACCTCATCGGCTGTAAGTTTTTAGCTAGATGCTCAGTACTTGTGTAAAAATCATGCACCAGAAATTGTCCCGCTCCTTGTTTACCAACTCCAAATGTTAGATTGCTATAGATTAATCACACCGTCAGGTAAAGCTAACAAGGTTATGTTTGTGGAAGCGTGCAACTACACACTTCAGATGTAACATGCTCTACAACAGATAGTTTGCATTAATTCGGCTAACTTCAACCGAGCTTTAGCCGTATCACGTGATTTACGGTAGTATTCACTTCCAAACAGAATAAACATTATGGTCGTGGAGTGTGTTTTGATGGCTGTTTTGGACAGTCAAAAAGCCTACCCGAACTGCAAAATCTTTCAGCAAGCAAGAGCAGAGTTCCTGTACCATTGCTGTGCGAGCGCAATTCCACAGACGTTTGTTATTCAGCCCTGGGAACCTTTCATTATGTGAGTGTGTGTATACGAACAGAAAAGACAGGGACTACATGGTCTCAGTTTACCCAGTACACCATTGCTTACAGTAGATTTCTCTTGACAATCGTGTATAGTGGAATATGTTCCAAGAACGCAACGTTTCATGTGACTGCGATGGTATGTTCACATCTGACGATTATTCTTTAAGTGAGGTATCTAACGTTCTATGGAATACGAAACAAAATTTACTTTGGTCTTTTCTCGGGCCATAATGAAGCAATAATAATATCGGTTTGTTGCGTTCCCATTGCAGCCAGAACGCGTCACACAGAACGGCGAATCACAACCAACACGGTTACCAAAGAATGAGCTGCCTCTGGACGCAGGTACACTGATATCTAGAGATATTTTGATATTCCTACAAGTAATCGACGACAAGCACCACCAATAGCCTACAGTTAATAAATTAATACGTTATTACTAACAACCTTGTTGTACATCTCCTGAATTCGTTGTTACATCAACCATAGCGTTTAACTTAGTACAATCTTATGTGAACGTTTGAGTTGACAATGTAAAAGTTTGTGTAGGGCCAATAATCACCTGCTAGATGCTGATATTCGACTATTGACAAGATGACAACATTTGTAAATCCATTGACTTAACCTATAACACAGAGTTGTGGACAGTTCATCAAACGGTAGGGTAAAAGTTGTTAGATATTTAGAAGTCACATTAACATACATTCATATGACGTTTACTCATTAATATAACATACATATTCCGGACTCTAGAGAACTCATTTTGCGTTTCTGCACTGAAAGATTTTTTTACGTTTTGCAGAATAAGATCACGGTTTGTAACCACAGATTTTCCTGTTTTTATATCTGTTGTAACAGATATTTAAGTAACGTGACCGCTTTTAAATGTCGCATTGCATGCTGATTAATTAACCAAAAGCGCACGAATAGTTGGTTCATTTTCGTGGGGTTGCTTGCGTTTATTTCAACGTACGGCTATGAGATGCCTTAGAGCTTTGACAACCTTGCGCTGAATAGAATATCCGCCTCTCCGCTGAATACCAACTTACAAAACGTGGAAAGTCAACCTCCCACCTGAACCCGGGTATGTTACTTCGCCAGCGATGCTAAAAGCGCCAATACCTAGTGCTGCGCAGTGAGACGCCATCTGCATACTTACAAATCGCATTAGAGTACGGCCTCATGCGTATGATGCATCACCGATTCTCACGGCATCAGACATTTACTCGATGTAGTCAATAGGTTCCATTATCTGGGTAACCGTGTCACCTTTGTTGTTCAACGCACTATTGGCATGGCTACAAGCATCAAGGTGGTCTCAGGTAAAGTACGAGTGTAGAGGGTGCGCGAGATGATTTGTGTCTGTCAAAAGCTTGAAGTATAGGTCTGCGATCAGACCATGATAATCGTACTAATCCGACGCTTAGTCACTACATGATTTTGAGGTAACAATAAAGCTAACCCTTTACAGCTAGAACATATTACTTAAGGATATGTGATGCAGTGCCAGAATTCTCCATTCCATGTATCTGGCAGCAGTTCTCGGACGCAGAACTTCGAACTGATTACGACAACGTCCAGGGACATTTCATATTGCGAAATATCATCATCACTGATATTTGGCGTCGTAACGTTGAAATTTTAAAAGTGTTACTCGTCCCTTAGCCTCTTACTGAACTCTCGCTCGTACTGCAGTGTAGAATGTTTCTCAGTCTCATAGGCACACACATCGACTGAGGGCTGTCTTGACAACAAGATACAACAGAGACGCATACACCCACCTGAACCTTAGCACTCTTTGCTTTTTTATTTTTGGGGACGAATCCTGTACGCATGAATAGTAAACCTCCCCTACCTATCGCCGGTAAGCTGTTAGTCGTGGCCCCACTAAGCGTCCGTTACATCTTAACTCAGTTTCTATCGATGAGAGATAATGTAGGCCCTCAGTCGCTTAAGATTCTTTGGTCCAATAGTGTGGTACTGTCGGAAGGAGCATGAGTACTTGAAACTAATATATCCGAGATCACTTAGAAGATACACTTATCGTTTCTAAACATTGACATGGGCCATCTCGTTGACTGTGATAATGTGTGGCTACTGGACAGCGATAAGTGAAAATACGCATAAATATATAAATGATATATTCCCCGGCGATGCGAGGTTCAGCCCAACTATGTGGTCTGAGCAATGTGTATAGAAGGATCGCAAAAATATTCAATTTGTTCACGCTTTATACACTGGATCCAAAACGGGTATTAAAGTAATTGGCTGGTCTAAGGTATTAAAGAAATTAAAAAACCAGGAACAATAACAAATGCAGACTTAAACAAATATCCAGGTAAAGTAATACGGCCACTCGTGGAATCGTCCCCAGGGGACCTGCTTCCGTGCAAGGTAATCTGTCGAAAGGTTTCGCCCGCACTTCCTTGCTATATCTGGCCGCGTGCCGGCGTGGCATAGTAGCATATGAGCCATCACCTGTTTATCATATGTTGTGTTCTTTTTAAGGCTGATTTTATACAGGTATTATGGGCGATGAAGCCTCAGCCCAGTTCGTCATGCGGATCATTCACTTATGACACTTTTTTATACGCCAGTCAGTTGGTGGCAATGTGTTTTGCATAGGTAAGGTCTTTTATAATCCGTCACCACAGGTGTTCAGCGCAGTCGTGGCCAACAATGACATGAGGAAAAAGGTAGAAAAGAAGATTTATATGAAAGAGGTACTATATCGTTAATGTAAAAATAAGCTGGTATAGCTTTAACATCAGCGTGAAAATGAATCGAGCCGGTCATACGATCAAATTATGCGGCGTGACAGCCGGAGACAGATAAATGTACGAGTTATCCATAGGCAAAAAGTCAAATAGGGGATTCGTTATTGCCATCACTGAATTCCAGTATATGTTTCTGGACAGTTAACTCCAGAATAGAAGGGGAAATGGTTAGCATCGCAGAACAGACGCAGCGAAGGGAATCGAAGAACAATATTACGGATTGAACAATTTGTTGGGAGAATTACGAAAATAGTTCCCGGCCCCGCACCAGGAAATAATTTTGCTCTCGGTTTTAGATAGAAGACAGCTGGTATGAATTACCTTTGAAAGGAATAAAACCGCATAGATGCTAGCATTAAAGAATAGAAACAGATGCGGTTGTAACAGTTCACCCCAGGTGATCTTGTTTGCATTGGTGCATTTGTTGGATGTGTTTCCAGTCGAAATTCTCCGGTATCATACATGATCCGGCCCTCCTTCATACAGCTTTTCATCATCAAGTCGAATTTTTAAGATCCATTTCACTCGGTCCGTTGACAGATAAACCTTTATCATTTTCTTGAACATGTAAAAATGTTCAATACATCTAATCTCTTTTGGTAGCTTCTCCCATATAGAGCCATACCTAAGAAGGTAGAAATTTCTCCATAGACTGGTCTTGAATTTAGGTAAAGAGAATATACATTCACTATCTCGCAGTTCATAAATGGTATTATCTTGAATGTGCAATTGATATGCTTTCCACCACGTGAGTTTGTGGAGGAAGCACAGATTTAATTGCATGCTTCCTAACCACAGAGTTTCAACCTACAGCTCCTTGCACCTATCTCTGTATGAAAGAGCGGTTGACAAACCAAATATGCGCTTCTTAAAGGCGCGTTACACGTTTTCCATGGCTCTCAAGTCACACTTTCGCAAGTTACTGAAGGTAACACAGCAGTATTCAAGCAAGGGCCTGATGCTGATTTTGAAAGCAATTAGTCTGGTTTCTTTCAAGTTTAGCAGGTGGCATTTGAGCCCGACCAACTGCTTAGCCTATTTCACGATATGATTTGTATGTTCGTTAAAGTTTAACGAACTAGAGTATCTTAAACCTAAGTCACGAACAGACTGGCTGATGGGAATAACTTCATCATGAAACCTGAACAATTCTGCTGCTAGCTGACATCCATATGCCAGAATACTACACTTACATGTTACAAAAGTCATCTGCCACATATCAGCCCATCTCTCAATGGTTCTGAAGGCGCTTTGGTTATAGCTAAGTTCAGAGAAATGTTGAAAACCTGGAAACGTGGAAACCACCTTTAGATCATCAGCAAACAAATAAGGCTTCTCAAGTTGTATAACAAACAAGGTCATTTATACACAGTAGGAAGTAACGGACCTAAAACACTACCCTGTACCACTCCACTGGTGACCAGGCGAGATGTAACCATTGATATCTACAACTTGCGACCGTCCTACTAGGTACGATTAGATCCAAGAGTGCAGCGGATTTGCAACACCATACTTACTTAATTTATATAGCAGCTTCTTGTGGGGGACTCTGCCAAACGCTTTTTGCATGTCGAGGAAGATGACAATGCACTGAAGACCTGAGTCAATTGCTTCAGTTAGATGGTTAAAGAAGTCAACTTGACAGCTAACACACGAGCTGGACTTCAGAAAGCCATACTGTGTAGGTGAGAAAAGTTTGTGTGATAATATGAACGAAACCAAATGTTCCTTAACAATTCTCTGTAGCATGCGTGAGAGAACGGTGTGTGACTAATGGGGCGGTAGTTCCGGATGTCAGTTTTCGACCCGGACTTATGTCTCGGTGCAACCGTAGCCGTTTTCCAACGTTTGGGATATTGACCAGACTGGAGAGACAAAGCGAAGATATTGAATAATATAGGAGGATATCATCTCCACCGTGTTTGACTAAAGCAGAAGAGATCCCATCGGGGCCAGGTCTGTAGGATGATCGTAGACAGGTAGTCATACGTTTTATCTTAGCGACATTACTCTCAATCGCTGAGACTTGTTCAGAAGTTAAACGGGGTTGACAATTCCAGGGTTTCGTTTTCAAGACTGAAAGATATAACAAAGTATGAGTTAAAGGCTTCTGCCATATCAATTGGGGAATTAATGCATTCGCCTTCAGGCATGACGATGTGGGAGGGTAGGTCAGTTTTGCCGCCTCTCCTTCTCAATAATGCAGTCAACAGTTGACTTGTATTACTACTGTTTACAGCCCGTTGTTCTTCCTACGTGAGACGGGTGTGGTGTTTCATGTCCGTCTCCGTTATAAGGCCTTGGAGTCTCAGTAATACGCTGAAGTCGTGAGTACGTTCAAATGTTCGAGTTAGCACTCGAATTTTCCGCTTGTCCTTTGCATTGTTAGCGTATTTAGAAGAGACTCTCGTATTATCACAGGAGGCAAGTATGCTTAAGCACATAGTCACATTGTCATAGAAGATGTCAGAGGCTCCCTTAGTATCAGACGAAATAAAGAAATGGTCCCAATTTTTGACCCTAAGCAGAGCGGAGAAAGCTACCTAATTTACATCTTGCAGGAAGTGT